GTATTGCAGAAACCCAAATGGGTCCAGCAAAACCCACCTTTGACTACTGCTTCTAATTGGACAAATCCTTGATGCTATATCGACCTACACATTAAAAAAATAAAGAATCCCATTGGCTTACATACGCAGTCTTGAAGTGTGTGCGTTCGCCCAAATATGCGTTTCTCACCCCATATATGTTTCTATTTTTTTGTGAAAATAATTTCTGTGATACGACCGTGTTCAAATTCAAACACGCGGTTTGGGTAAAATCGGCTTTTGACATCAACACTACACCCCAGCACAGCGCTTGATGAACATTGGCTTAAAAGCCGGCCATTAAAAGCGTTCCGGGAACTTAATGCGACTATGTATACAGTTTAACATCGTTTCACGTTACTTACGTTAAGGTAATCGATCAACCAGCTTCTAGGTAAGTTTGTGAATGTATAAATCGCCCACGGTCTTAACACACTTCCTTTATAACAGCGTCTGTGTAGTATATATATAAATCTATTCTCATAAATTATACATACTACACGACAAGCGTGATTAGATAAAGAAACAATTTGTTCATATATATTATCGCTACTTTACCAGTATTATTGGAAAGCACCAGATAGGCTCGTATAAATGATAAGGTCAAATACCGATTTTCAAATATAGTAGGTCATGTAAGAGTTGATTAGCTTATATGTGATTTATGTGAGGATCTCCGCACCACTGGCATTTCCTATTCATGATATGTCGAAATCCTTTAAATAAACTTCAACCAGTGGCTTCTTTTGCTAAACTATAAATTCTCGTGTGTTTTTTTAATACCTCCTTGTAAGGCAAACAACTTACGATCCAGTGTTTGACGATCAGCCATTTTGAGCAAGAAAGTTCGAGTGCTTGTAGCCGCGCACTCCGCAGGCGCGCGCCGCTCATCTCAGTCGACAACAGACAATTATTTGCCGATAGATGACTTAACAGTGACGAGACAAGTTTCTAAGTTGAACCAATCAGTTATTCACAAGATGGTCCGTTTACTGACCGTTGAATTTAATGGTTTGCACTGACACTGCGATACCACTAGTCTAACCTAACCTTATTAAATCCTCGGTACCTGTATAACAGGTATATGTTACAGAGATACTGTGCTGCCTCCTGAGGAGGTCCGATCGGAATCACTAAAGTGAACCCTATGACAGGCCGTGTGGATATGAATTTGTGTGAACCTGGCTCTGTGGTATAGTACATTTGATTGTGAATGCGCACGTTCGGTAATAGGAGAGAGGTGAGCAGTAGATCGCCACGTTGGGCTAGGGTCCAAAATTTTGCTGAGAGGCGACTGCGGTTGCTGCCTCAGGGGCATTCGAGTGGTTGCCCGCTTCTATGCTGTGGTCAGTTAGTGGTCGCAGACATGGCTGTCAATACACGAGGCACGTATACTACAATTCCTTCGGTTGTACCGTTTTCTCGAAAAACCGTACCACGTCACGTCACGGAGATGTCCTCGCGTAGCCGGCTATCCGCTACGGTCTGTTCTGTTTTGGGTGGAAGAGTTTCGTGTGCGTGTATGCGACTTTATAATGGACGACTACCATTGCTGTCGACTGATTCAGCAATCGCAGTCGATAAAAGTCTCTTGATGCAGCAAAAGAATAATCGTATCCAAACGGTCCACGTTTCTTGTTTTCGACGGCCTCGCGCAATACTGGAATGCCGGCTAGTTGGAGCGCTGGGAGCTGACTCACTCGAGACTCCATAAGCCGCAGTGGTCGTGCCAAGAGTGATTCTGCGAAACGCGCGCAGTCTTCAGTAGCAGGGCCTAACAAACGTTGGTTTCGTTTCACGTTGACTGCACACTGATATGCGACGCTGTCATTGTGTCTGTTTCTATATGTAGGATATAAAAGAATGAATGGTTTTTCATGGTGCGCTTTGCCGCTATTTCGGCCGCAATAAAAAAAATGACTACCTCATATCGGGGATGAAGTGTCTTTAAGCCGATCCGTCCAATAAAAATCGGATTTCCTGTTGAATAAGGCAAAAGTCCTCTTACTACATCCGAAATAAACTAATTTTTACTAGAAAACGTTTGTTATAATCATTATATATATGTATATGGGCATTTCGCAACGGGTTTGTTAGTGACACCTATGTCGGATTTGTACGATATATGCTCAACGGATGATAGGTACGATTATATAAGGAAACCTGTATGGGATCACGTTAAATATCGTTTCGGTGATTTCTATACCCCTTCATACTGTTCTACGCTAGATAAAACTGGACTCGGTCTATGTGACAATGGGAGTATAAAGCGAAACAAACTTTTGTGTTTTCAGGCTATAAAATGATCAAATATGTAGCTAATTAGATACGTATCTTCAATTAAAAGACAATAAATTTTGAGCTGCTGTTCATCGTCGTATAGAAATTAGTCTAACGTAAAAGATAAAATGAGTGCATACGTTAGAGAACTGCGGGCTAAGTTGAGTTCTTCTTTCAAACACCTTTTCTTGCAGTGATAGACGCTAGTTAATAATTAGCATAGTATGTTCCGGTAGGTTCTCAAAATCGTTCCACAATAAGCGGGCCTGAAGACGCTCATAGGCGATGGCAATATTTTTTCAATCGTACATTTCGACTAAGTGTATAGGTGCAAGCTGCTGATACATGAGACGAATATTTAAATGCGTAGCGCCTTTTAAAGGCAAGATATCCAGTCCTAGAGATGTCCGTGTATAGCGGTCGTTCGCCGCAGTCAAAATCCTAGATATCATTACGTAAAATCTACTATTTATTATATTACTATAGAGGGTGGATCGACGCTCCAGGTATAAACTAACAAGCTTCAGATAGAAGACGCTTGGAGGTGTAAAAAGACCCTAACTTTGGCGGTTTCGCGCCCACTTCTTATCAGAATTGTTCCTGAGTTATCCTCTAACATACCATAGGAACATCCACTGTCGTTGGTGAATATTAGGGAAATATTTTTCAGTTTTTTCGGAGGAAAACAATGACGTAACGATATCGGTTACCGTCTTCATGCTGTATGACTGAGCTGTAGCTTACGCGACTTATGTTTATTGTTGAATCCAAAGAAAATATGATGTACTAGGTACATAATGCAGCGCATTCTCATCGAGGAAATACCTTGCAAATCGTTGGATCGAAGGGTAAAAGTTTATATCAACAGGACGATATCGAATGTGGTCTTGAAATGGCTAAACCCATAATGTACATTCAGAGCCCGCTAATAAATTCATTTCATTCAAGCGAGTATCACCGAGCGTTCATAGAAGCCTTCGATTTTCTAACTAGTTTCGCCGTCTACCGTTTGGTGCCCTCATCAGTTAGTGGATTTTGTTAATGAATCGCTCATTGGATCAACACGAATGGCGTCCATTGTAGCATGCAACGAACCGCAGCATTTCTAAACGCGTTGTCTTCCACAAGCGCCTTTAATGAACGTCTGATTTCTTTATGATATCAGCGTGTTTGTTAGCGTAGTATGAGGGGTCATTGCCGTTTGAACATCGACCGCCACTTGCTAGTCTGACTGGCGCTACCGTCGACGACAAAAGTGCGAGAAGTATCTTATTTGCGAGACAAACCCAAACAAGCGATCCGTCCTTTTTCCGGCTACTGTCAGCCATCCGAATGGTAGGCATGAACCCGGAAAGATAGCACCGTTTTTTCAACTGAATCTCGAACATTTGCTGTTTACCTCGTTGGTGTAAAATTATGCGTGAATTTTTTTATCGCGTACTATTTGATGCATTAGTGCAACACGCCACTAGCGTACCGCCGGTAAACAAAATCACGTCTAGCACTCAGTTATAGTTGACCCATGCGAGAGATTTGAATGATTCATACATTGAAATTCTTAGACTAGAAATTAGATTTTTATTATAATTGTTTGGCGATTAAGCGACGTAAAAGTCTGTCGTAAGTCGGAGAACAAGACCTGAATTCATAGACGGAGTTCTTCATCTAGAAGTTCAATGTAGTACCGGGCGAAAATAAACATTCTCTACCTGCTAAGACTGAAGAATAAGGGGGGAAATATGAGCTACGCTAGATTTATATGTTAATAAAATTTAGTAAAACTCTTCACCTGCTATTTTTTGGCACTAAGAACGATTGAGAGTCTTCTAATCGAGGTAACAAAATTCGTTTATCCTTCTAACGAGACCAAAAGCTCACTGGGGTTTTCTGCTCGGGCAGGGTGTTTTTCTTTCTATTTTTTTACAACTAGTGACTACAATGAATATTATTGTGAGCACTAAAAAAATATTTCTCAGATTCTATTTCTGTGTGAGACGTTTTCTGTTATGCTTTTTGGGGGACGACAGCTTCTAGCAGGAAATAAAATGCAACCTTTGCGCGCAAATCTAAGTTGAATATAAAACTAGAGAGGATAGGAAAACAAAGGCAAAGTGTTACATTTAAAATTTGACCGGGGTATATTAGCGAAAAAGAAAGCATACGATTCTAGGGCAAGAGGCTCAATGAAGCAATGGAAATTTCAAGCGCGTCAGATTTATGTTTTCAGGTTGGATGTTTAGCCTGAGACATTGTAATTGATTGAATCTGTTGTTTTCGCAATTTCAAGCTTGAATATTTTGTAAAAATGATAATGTATTCAAAACAGGTCATCTCAATAGTCCTTTGCGGTTAATATTTGAAAATATCCGGTATAGTCTTGGTGACGAAAAGTCACCAAAACTATACTCGATTTTTACAACGACCGCGAACGCATAGCTACCAGAGGAATATACGCACTATGTCAAACGTATATAAAAATCCTCCGTTAGATATTCTTGTGTGCGCTATGTGTAGATGTATCTGAACACACAGAAAGCCAGAGTTTTGAAATAGAGTAGATAAGGAAATGCCTAAATAATTCTAACAAAACACTTAGTTCGTTGAATCCATGTGTCTCCATGGTTGTCGGGAAGAATCTCGGCATCCGTTTGTTTCTACACGTATGAAATATAACAAAAATGAGAAAATGAGAAATAACAAAATGACCTATGAACTTATATATGTTTACAGTTGTACACAAAGAACGGTTTAATGTCGAGATCGACATTCAGACAACACGAGAAGGATATATAGAGTATTCATTGTTCGCCAAGGGAACTGGAATCTGTGTTGAAATAGAAATCAGAATAGCGTCAGTTGATCATTGAACGCCTGACTTAACATAGCCCTAATAATAGTCTCTATCCAGCCTTATGTAGGCACCATCATTATGTTCGATAGAAGTACCGTTTTTGCGTGTGTTACCAGGAGCCCCTTGTAAAATTATGCAGTGTTTGATAATGGGTTGTATTCTAAATTCTGCCCGGATAATGTAGCATAGCATCACACTGGATCGGTAAGTGTATTAACTTTTTATCCAATTAGCCAATAACTTTTACAACAATTGTTTATCAGACTTCTCCACAGAAACTTCTGCCGTAGCAATTATTGATCGCAATAGCTTCAGAGATCACCGATTGCTGAGTCTGAAAGCTATAGACATGAGCGCTGCTAATATGGCACGCTACCTATAGAATGTACCAATTATGATATGTAAAAATAGATTTACCAGCAATTGTATTAATAATATAGAAGAAATGAGCTTCAAGCGCGTCTTTTAAAATAAACTTGAGTGAGAAACAACACGAAAATTGAGGGAAGATTAAATTACCCGGTACGGGCGTCACTTAGACCGGTCGCAAACCGAAATAGATCAATACTCGCTTTCTTGTACTGCAATTTGTTCCTGCGTGTGTTTGGGAGAGCGTATATCCATCCGCGCCTTGCAGATATCACATGTTACCATGGCGAAATTACGTCGAGCTACCGCAAAAGTTAAAAAAAATACACGCATATATATATATATATATATACACCCATCACGCTACGAGTTTACGGAGGAATCGCAAAGCTGAGCTTCTGCTTATGTTACACAGAAGTTGGTAACAAAATGTTTATACATTCAATCTATAAGGATATAACGATAATATTATATCAATTCTTTTAGTCACGAGTAGGGAAACTAATGTTCAAAGCAACATATAAGGCGACTATAAAAATTACTACTGCGTTATATGCTGCTAGATATCATTTACTATAGGCCCGTGTGTTTAATATCTGTACCTGTTATATGAGTTCATGGAAATAAATTTACGAAAGGCTTTCTTAAAATAGATCTTACAGAACCATCGGCGTGAACAAAAACTCTTCTCCTTAGGTAAATCCAAACTCTAACGACGGAAACTATAGACATCTAGTGCCTTTACCGAGACAATTTTTTCATCTTCAGCGATTTGGAAATAGATTTTTGCAGCTGCAAATTACACTGATCCGATGCTAAACCGACGTCGTAGGAATACAAGCGCAGTCTTCTTTTTGTTCTACTCGTGTAATAACCATCTGATTAACTCGATACAATCACAGGTGTTTTTTTTTCAGTTATTAAGATGTTAAAGTTTAAACTGCAGACGACAAATGGTTTGCAGGCCACTATCCATAACATAAGTACAATACGGCAAACGGGAGTGTAAACAATTGTTTATATTACATTTTTCATATAATGTTTTGTTACATAGTTTAATTCATATAGAATGCACTTGGGGTTGTTAGCTGGAACCCCAGCCACTAGCGTGGAACAAACTTATACGTATTACTAAAATGTTACCAAATTTACTTTTTTGATAGAACATTTTGACTAGAACTTCAATGTCAACAAACATGCGAACAAAATGTCAATAGTGAAGCTCGACACAATTTCATCTTATGTTGCCACTAAGGAGAAGTAGGGACAGCAAGCAATTAAATATCTTCACCATCTGTAGTGAGAAGTAGGGGGAAGAAGACTTTCGAATGATTACATAGTTCATTAGATGCGCGACAAATGCAAAAGCGCCAAAATAAAAGCTAAACTACAAACCTACTGTAACCTTATTATAGCTATGCTAATCCTAAACGGATGGTACCATTCTAATATACATCAACTAGCATCTCTAATTATATGATTAGCGAATATACATATATATATATATATTGACCATCTTATTTTCAGTACGGGTGCATTATTGGGCCGACGTCTGCAACATGTGCTAGCTAGTCTAGAGTGATTTTAACCAGGCTCGCATAAATCATAGTTCAGAGGTTCGACAGTGACAGCGTAAGTCTACATAAAGGTTACTGGCTGGCTTATTCGGATTCCGGACAATCCTCGAGCATTGCCCAGGGCTGTGTGACAATTTTTTAGTGAACCACTTCTGACCTGTTCTTATATGTAGCAACACATCATTTTTATTTAGCCTATTGAAACTCTGTTGAACATCGGAGTGAGTCGGTACACCTTTGATTTTCACTCATAGGTAGCACAGTCAATACCCGAGAATATGGCACGTCGCAAAAAAAATGCCACAGCCAAGCAGAAAGAGAACCTCAACGTCTTACTGAAAGAGGAAGTTGTTCATCAGGGATGTGAATCAGAAGTAAGTAGCTAATACTGTAATTATACGTACCTACATGAATGTACCCACCCTATTTGCCATTAAAGCTCTTGGTTGAAAACTAATAGCAACATGTGATGTTCTCAGATGAGATCATATATTACGAAAAAGCGTAACGTACGACCCAAAATTGAGCAGTTTTGTCGGGTAAGCTCGTAGGATAGAACATCGTCGTGGTGGCCTGGCGCGCGTCAGAAATGTTTGCTTCATCAGAGGTTGATCAGGACGATCAGAACTCTAAAAGAGCGCTACACGCCCATCTTTAAAGTTTACTAAACTATTGAAGCTTTTATTCTTTTACTTACTTAGCAATCTGACGTATGTCGAAGCTGATTTTAGCTTTAGCTTTAGATAAGTATTATAAAATTTTTGTTAAGTGAATGAATTTCGTGGGGATGCTTCAACAGATACAAGCTATAGCTGCCGTTGCCAACAAAAAAGTGCGGATTGTTTACACATTTGGTTATGGAAGATACTTTTGTCCGAATGGACACGGATGGACCTCGTACAGAGCGTGCATAACATTCGATATGAAGAACCTGTGCGTCAGCAAGATGTGGAGACAGTGTGAGTACTATTCGAATATTGAGAGCAGATTAATGTACGACTATAAAATGTGCCCTTTTTCTGATTCAACTTGTTTAATTAAGAGCAGTTTTATATTTTAGGCAGGTGACACGTTACTCAGAAATCGTGTCAGATCTTTCAAAGCAAAATACGATCGATGAAGCATGTACAGCGTTTTTACTAGACTATTGCTTTCTTTTAAAAAATCCTGACATGAATTACTGATTTACGCTGGTATAAGCTGAAATTAACATGCCCTTTCTAATAAGATAGACCTCTCTATCGTTTAATGACACACCCTGGAAACGAGGTATGATTCTAATGTTACTCCTTATTTGTTCTCTGAAATTTTATAGACTGCCGATCCTGTCCAGAAGTGGGAGTGACGCCGGAATTCAAAGCCACAGAACAGAAAGCCGTTGTGGTTGACACCATCAAGCGTTTTTTTGAAAGGATTAACAATGGACCTCAAGAAAAGCGGACTAATAGCAAGTCGGAAGTCAAGCCCCACCTAAGGCACCTTTGCGAAGTCTGCAGAAGTGGTCTACTCTGTTTGTAAGTGTGTATCTGTGTGTGTGTGTGTGTGTGTGTGTGTGTGTGTGTGTGTGCTTCCTTGATACCTACAAGAGCAGATAATTCTCCAGCGGAGCGGAAAATATGGTACAAGAAGCAATTTTAATTACGCTTACATGTGATTACTTGCAGATTGTGCACTAACACACATGCTTGATCTAAAATTGCTAATAAACTCCATGTTTTTCAAAAAAAAAGCTTGTAATTAGTATTCAATTAATGAACTTACTCGCTTGTATATAGCAATTTTTATACATACGTTCAAGAAGTCCAAATTAAAGCTTCAAGCCTAATAGAGAAACAAGTCCTTCTTTTGTCAAATGCTATTGCATATCTGAACAGAGTTCTCTGTGGGTCCTCTCGTCTCTTTAACCCGCAGTCTAAATAGTGGTTGGAATCTTGAGCCGTAAAAAAGAGGCGTTAACAAATATGATGTCTCTCTCATCTGACAGAAGTGTTTCCTGTCCTCCGGGTAAAACCTCGAGCCGAAAAAACATTAAAAAAATCGCTAAGGCCCTTACCGATGAATACGCTGGGCCATCCATCAACTCGAACCCCATACAATTGTGAATTTCAAGTGTATGACGGTTAGTTCTTTTAGTGGAGCAACGTTCTTATTTTTTAAATGCATTTTTCAGCAATCTCGTTTTTCAGCTTAAAAAGCCATGTTTAGTAGTATACCCCCGTAATTGTTTTCCTTATTTCAAAATAAACGTTTCACAGAAATCGGTTACTATCCTACAGAACAGTTATCATCGCTTTCGCCGTCCGTGAAACGGTCTTCGCTTTCTTCTCGGTTGATTTATCTCTTGCAGCCACTATTTCTCAGGAGTACACTTGCATGTCTGCGTTTCATCTACTCTTAATAATCGATACATGTCGCTTGAACCGCTTGAACGAGACTTCGGAAATATCCACCTTAATCCGTTTTTAGTGTTGAGTGGGCAAATAGGGCGCCCAGCAAGCGGTTAGCTTTTCTCATGCCTACATATTCTGTCAATATACGACAAATACGTTTGTTACGAGATACCCACAGCCCACATTATCTCCCTAATCGTAATTCAATGATCGTCTAGCATTATCTAGTAAACCTTTTCGATATTACCGATAGAGGTCACAGTTTTCAACTTTCCTGCTTGTCTATCGTGAACTAAACAGGTACGACCACGCTTAAATTTAGTACGCTAAATCTCACGGCAGTAAACGAAAGCGCAGAGTTACCATAGATGGAGTCCGTGTTGGTACTAATCTGAGGCTTTTGAATGCAAGAATTCAATGACGGTTTCATATTCAGGTTTTTTTTATATTTATTCTAATATCGATTGGCACAGCCGACTGTTAAACAACAGCTCAGTGTCTAACATGACTGAAATGCTCATAGCATCGTTCACGCATGCGCAATTATCACCAGAATATATATTTAACGAGGACCCGTATCCAAATTGAAGCTGGAAACTTATAATTTTGAGGATATAAGTATATTCTGACAATATGCATCGCTTGTAGTAATGATTTACTTATTCTTGTATCTGCTGCGGGGCCAACTGTATTCCTTATAGCATGTAACTAGATTCTATAATGGGATTCTAAAGGGTTATAGGCAAAGGCGCCGATATCAAATTGGTACCGAGATTAACTTAACTTAGCAGTCTAAATCGTGCCAGGTGATCCTAAACGTTCGAAGAAACGTTCGGTTCCGCGTCGAACCCTACTTCAGGCCGATACCAGGTGATTCTAGCAGTACAGTTGGCAACTGCCACGAAAATTCATTATCAGCAGTGGCAGTTAAAAGTGCAATCTATGGGGAGTTGTCCTGAGGCGTCGGTATCATGTCAAAGCGCTTCTCCAGCCTCCTGAGGATAATGGTTCGTGCTTACCGGGAGTTACTTTGTACACATGCAGATGTATAAAAGTTGCCGCTTATTTTGACTAAATGTCTATTATGATTATTCATGGGTTTATCATTTATCCATATTTCCGTGCTGATGCACAAAGGTACGAAAGTTTTGTCCAAAGTGTGCATATATCGCGTAGCCCAATTTAATCGGACGACTCCTGTTCTTCGAACTAGAAAGTTAGTCGTCCAAGTTGTCGGGTAAGTAACAACCGGATTAGTAATTTCAATAGAAATCGATTAAACAATCGAGCTCTGGCAACAATTCATAGGTTGTTTATGGTCGCGATGTACTGATAGCTCAGGTACTCGAACTTGGGAACAATTCCTAATCTATTCCGATGCACTTGATCCACCGGTTCTCTTTTAATCCATATATTCCATGGTCATATTTTTATTGCATTTGTATTGCATGAACTTAGCCTATCATCTATAGGTAATGCCGAGAGAATGATCATTGCAGGTTTTATTGAAGATGATAATAAAATTTTGTCTTCGTGGCTTGACGAGTTCGTCATGTCTACCTTCTAACTGATGTCTTCATAGCTAAACTTGACAAATTCAAATATCTGTACATAATATCGACGGTCGATGATCAGACGCGTCATGCTGCTTGATATGGCCTCATAATTAAAACTTTCCGAAGAACATACATTCACAGTCCTGACGTTCGTTTTGGCAGAGAAGACTCGATCTGCTGGATAGACAATGCTTTTTCGGATCATCGTAAATTTATTGTTTATTTATCGCCATTTAGAATGACTTTTTTTTTTAGACTATTTTCATTAATCTACCCCTTAGGTAGTGCGCACATGTTGTTAAATGTGTATTACATTGGACAAGCAACTAACTACTTGAGTTTTCGAAGCCGTCACAATCATTACAAAATCCAATGTTTGCCGCAGTTTATTTCTCCATACCTTGGCAGCTGAGGATGGTACGATTGCATTGGTGCATTACCTATCCCTTTGCAATGTCTATCTGTTTACCCACCGTAGCCGGGTTCCTTTGACATGCCAAGCTCGTAAAACTAAAGACGATCAAAATGAGACGTTGTCTTACCGTAGGACAGTCGGCTGACCGTGCTAAAACGTGTTTGCTCCAGGAAACACTGCCTGTTTCGATATACACGAAATTGTACCAAGAAGTTATTTGTTGCATTTGAGCACATAACTTTTACCACACACGTTTTCATCTGCCACTATTTGTAAGTTACGAAAAATTGGTCCTACAAATAGCTTCGTAATTGGGTCACCATGATCTCACTTATTGCTCATGCTTTCCTATCGACCATAAGAGTATCGGCTAATTGCGAGAGTAATCCACGGGTGAGTGATTGACTGTCGCTTGCCTCATTGGCCCAAAGGTTAACCAGATACCTGATGTAGCGGTAATATTTGCCGTTTCTATTACGTTGAATATGACGACTTACCCCACCGTAGCCGTAGTTCACTTTTTACTTTTAAAGCAACCTTCGATTTTAGCGGTTGCAATGCGTATGGACTTCTGAAACAACAGAGATACAACACTGGTTGGCACGACCGCAGATACATGATGTTTGTAAGCCCAATTAAACGACAATCGAAAGATCAAACGAGCCGATATTGAAAGTTGGTGTTATCCTAATGTTGTAGTGGTACCGAGCGTCTTGAAATATTAGCGATTGTGGTGGTCTTCGAAGGCAGTGATTAAAATTGTTCTTGTTAGAAGCTAATGAGGAAGTTTCAAAGCACGTAGGCCTAACTGCCCTTTTTTTAGCCATCTAAAAACTCACACATACAAGGTAATCATCAACGGATCGTTGCATTCAACGTTCGAGATCTGTTATGGTAGTTTTACAAATAGGTTCGGGTTGCTTATCATGTTCGTCTCGAAGGTTATCGCAGTGGACAGCTTTTTTAATTCCTTGAAAACACTACACAAGATTTTATTGAATCGTTGTATCAGGATTATACCGCTGTCAATCATCTATCTGTACGACGCATCGATTTCTAGAATTAGATTTTGACGATTATATTTATCAAGAGTCAAAGAGCAATTTTCAATGGTCTATCAAATCAAAAGAGCTCAAAGTTTGTATGCGATGTTTCGAAGTTATGTAGCTGTACGGCATTAAAAAATGTTCAGTCACCCGTTATAAAGGAACTGGATAAAACACTCATAGAAATGTAATCCCAAGATGGTGTGCGTCTTTGACTAAATGATGAAGCTATTGTAAATGACTGGGTAGTTCATGTAGGTTATATTTGGTGATAACCTATCACGCCGAATGGGTGTAAACCTGTCGCGTGCTACAGCGTAGGCCCATTCTGCACACATGTGGGCTTTTAAAGCTGCTGGGTACACATTTAAGTTCTGGAGCATTTTTTTTGGAGCTTTTAATTTTTTCATGTTGTATAGTAGAAGGTAAACCAATGTTTATAATGTTTTTCATTAGTCACTTATTATGTATGTTATACATAAGATGCTATTCGGCAAATTTCAGCTACGCCGTTTCCTATTCTACATTTAGAACGGTTATGACGACCCTAAAGTTGCAAGATTAGCTGAAGATTCAATTAACAATATATACAAACAAAAGGCTTGAGAACGATCCCACTGAAGAATTTTCGAATTCATGCGTTGTTCGCGGATGAACTCAGATCGATTCTATGCAAGCACGTTTTATGAAACAAAAAACGAGAATAAGCTGAATAAACGTTAGAACAATTTACTAGTTATTCAATTGTAATACGTTCAATTTACGGGTAATCGTAGCGGGCAGTCTGAAATTGTTCTAGAGAAAATAAAAATAATGACTTCATTATTATTTCATATCTGTTATATATTATCAGTATTAATTTACTAATAATATATAACATTTACTATAATATATAACATAATATATAATAATATATATAATATATTATACATGAAGAGGATATTCCGAAATTTTTAGGAACAGTAAATTTTATTGTTTTCGTGCAGTATCTACGTTTTATCATAGCTGTCGTAGATTTCTATCGACATTGGCCTGACATTTTGTCTAGATAAGTCAACTTACTCTTTGATTCAATAAGGATTCTTCTGCTTTTTTGGGACTTAATCCCGATCTATATCGGATTGTTTATAAAGGCGTTGTGCAACATAACAAAACATCGAAACAAGAGATATGTTTACGTCTATAAAAGAATCTTTTCATCACTGAATCTGTGTGCCGACGGCCGGTCCTGAACCAGCGACTTTTACCTCTCTGATATAAACGTTTAGTCATCTTATATGAGTATAGAGATGCTACATTGCGTCATGTATATATATGATTTATTAAGTACACGGTCTAGAATGAAGATTTTTGACGCTATCTTGTTGTTGCTACGTAGATGTGTGTGATGGTGATTTCCTAAGTAGCCCTTGCTTAGCCTAACGTAAATACAGTTGTTGTCTGTCTAGCTTTAAGGTTTTACAATAGGTTCCTCCATTAGGAGTTGAGGAAAAAACCTGAACGACTTTGTGGTTTCTTGGATTTAACTAAAATGCATATGTGGCCTACTTATTACTGAACTTACGGACACTTTTTATACGCGTAGTACCATACCTGGCCAAAAAACTCGTCGAATTATCGTGCAAGAATATATTATTACAAGTTTACGATATGTACCCCTAAAATAACTGCACTAACTTCCTTTGCAGTGTTAGGTGATCAATATCAAATAGCTTCTTGTAGAACCTTTAAGTAGTAAAGTTGACGGAAGCAGGAATTTTGTTTTGGTCACTTTCGAGTTACTGCCCTGCATGAATGAGATTGAAAAGAAAGTTTCCGAACTTTTTTGAAATGGAAAATACCACATTGTATTGTTATAACAGAAAATGTTATCATGTTGTGTATCTGCCATCGTTGTTCATGATCTTTCTTTCATGACCAAATGATGCCTGCCGTCCCATCAGAAGATACCGGGTTTTGTTTCGAGGAAGACCTCCAAGTACATTTTAAGCTGTTGATTTTTGTTCAAGGTAAGGCCGAGAAGGCAATTACTTACTGACCGGAAAAGGCAAAAATAATTCAGAACAAGGCCAGGAAAGCATGGAGGATGCAACGAAAAGTTCTTTTTTAGTTTAGTAGTAGTAAGTTTTAGGGGTAGGAATTGCTTCCGATAGATGAAACCGGCTTCTAGCGACGAAGGTGTGTGAAGATTTATTGGGGAGACGATGAACCATTTTGTCGAGAATGCTGTACAACGAAATGCCGGTAGACGATGAACTTTCACCTATTTCTATTGAACGAGATAGTACAGGCACCCGCTGGACAGACATGTACGTTTCCCTGCGCAGCGAGACATAGCAGTTATGCCTGTTCAGTTCCCCTAACTAAACAAATACACTTGCGTAAAGCATGTTTTCTTCAAATATCTAGCAAGAATTGCTTATGTTTTGAATACATTTGATAACACAAAGAAGATACTCATAACGTAAATATATATTTATAGAGGTAGGTAATGGTATTCATAGAGAAATATATTTATACATAAATATATTTGTTCCAATAAAGCTCGCACGATTTGTATTATTAACAATTTGAATATAGGTACCACATCGATCTACAATAGGGCTGAATAAAAATAAATCATCAAGGTATTTCTTAATAAAAACAAGGTGCCGAATGGACTTTGTGCCATATTTATATGTTTTCCGCAACTTTTTCAAATAATTTAAATAGCGACTACAAGTACACCGCACAAGAGTGTGGGCACCAAGAAATTTGAATTATTATAGAAATTTAATCAGTTGCCATGTCAACTGGAACAACATAGATTAATTCAGTCAGGAACAAAACATTAATCTATTTGTTTCATTATTAATACTAATTCGTCCATAGTATTGATCTCACTTCAACATGTGTGCAAAACTGGAATCTGGAGCCAATGCATTTTGTATTTGTTATGTTAATTTTAAAGACTGAAATGTATAAATCACATTTCAGGAGATAAAGCGACTTATGCGTACAGAACAACTGCGTGAATGAGTAAGAGATTAGTGCTACCGGGGTAAGCATCGTAGGCTTAAGTAAGCTGCTTTAACACATTCGTCATCTTTGGTATTAAGCAAGTCTCATCAAGATCAGACTTTTTCTAGAATTAAGTCCACAACTAAGTCAATTAAGGAACTTTAATGGTTATTAAGAGTTTTTTTGTGTTCAAACCCTTTACATATAAAAAAATTTGTAAGTTGTTATGAATTGTTGCATTACGATATAGACAGCGCGATAGACGCAACACACACATGCACATATATACTATATACATATATATATATATAGATATGTGTGTTTCGCGTTAGATTAGACTATGCACGCATTGTCCTTGATCTGTATTTAACTTAGAATGTAGCAATCACAGGACAATACAACAGATGCTGAGATCCATCCCGAAGAAGATGCGTCGAACGTTATAAGCTACGAAAAACAGTACACTTACCATTATATTATTTTAGCTCTATAGTTTGCATTAATTTAAGGAACGAAAATGTTTAAAGGGACAGAAGATTGATTAGGAAAATTTCTAAATTCAGAGATCCTAAAGGCAAGCTTATCCAACAACTCATTACAAGAAAGCAGCCAATTGAATATTCAGTTAATTTGATCTCATCTAGCTGTTTAGGAGATTTTTTTTCTTTCGTTGTCAACTAAATCTATGTGGCCTTGTGTCCTTTACAGGATTGTACATCTAGCATCAAGGACAGAATCGACGTTTCCGTCGAGATCTAAAGGACACAGATTAAATCGCCATTAAAAAAATGCCCTGCACTTTTTGCCTTTTTGTTGGCAATACGGCTTTCTACGAATCTATCACCTGTATAAATGTGTGACCTCTTTTTCTTTATTGTTCTGTATCAACGCTGCTTTCTCAAAAGGGTAGACAAAAGTTGTAGGACACAAAAAAGTTTAGTGTAAGGGTAGGACGAAGGTGTTGAAACTGACAATGCGCGTCAGGTAGAGACAAAAAAAATATATATATCTCCCCCATGTATATATATATATATATATATATGTAGATGGAGGCAGAGACAAAAAGGAGGGACGAATATATATATCTCCCCCATGTATATATATATATATATATGTAGATGGAGGCAGAGAATGCCGGATACTGTGTGAGATCTCCGTATCA